ATTGGAACATCAACCATGAAAAACAATGGAAGCACTGGAAAAGAAACACCATGAATTATTTTTGGGATACAAACGGCGAAAGTATGGAAGATGCTTATGATGAGTTTAATGACTTGTTCAAAGAGTTGATTGACATTTTACATTATATTGACATGAATGAGGATGAGAGACATAATATACTTTACGGTCATTGTTTTGGTATGGAAATTGCTGACAAATTAAATGAAGTTTTCTTCAATGAAGACAGTGAAACCGAAAGTGAAGGTGATGAGGTGAGAGAAGAATTTGAATATATAAGCGATTTCCAGTTGTAAAGTTTTTGCTGGTGAAAAAATCCGATTTTGGTAATCTTTACTGTTTAATTATATTATCCTTAAATAATATAATTGAATACATACAATCCCGAGTGAGTTAATCTGTGAGTTGTTGGTGAGTGTTTTGTAATTGTCTATTGTGTTGTTGGTTGTTTGGTTTTTTGTGTGGTTTGTTGTTTGGTGGTTTTTTTCGGGACAGGTGGCTTACCCAGACCTTGATATTTATTATGCCTAAAACCATTTAAAGAAATGTTCTTTTACTATGGTAGGAGATGAAAGACGATATGAAAAAATGTAAGCAATGTGATACTACATATTCTTCTGATTTGTTTAAGAATATGATTAAACTTTGTGATTACTGCCGAGAACAAAACAGATTGAAGAGAGAGGAAACCAAAAGACAATGGAGAATTAACAATCCTGAAAAAGTATGGGAGAAGCAACGCAGATACAGAGAGAACCACCCTGACAGAGTACAGGAAAAGAACAGGAAATACAGAGAGAGCGAAGCAGGGAAAGCAACAATACAAGCAAACCGGCAACAGGTTCACTATTGCGAATTGTGCGATTATGAAGTTAAAAAAGGTAAGAAGTCTCAACACGAGAAATCTTTAAACCATCAATATTTTTTACAGAAAAGTTTGAACGGTGAAAAATTGGAACGACCGGATAGTAAAGAAATTGTAAATGGCGTGTTGTGGTTTAGATGTTTGAAATGTAAGAAGAAAGAAATTTATTATTCTTGGTGCGACCATGTATCAAGTGAAGGACATATCAATAAATGTTGCGAGGTTGATTGAAATGGTTTAAGTTATTCTTTAAAATGAATAACTTGAAGCATTTTATATAGATTTTGGCGAGTGGTTTGATTATATGCTGGTGTGGCGCGGGGAGGGTAGTAAGAGATGAGGTTGTGGGTAAGGTCCTTCTTGCTCCACCCCCCCCCCCCCCTTTAAAAGCAAATGCTCCTGCGTGAGATTGATTGATTCATTGCCCCCCGACCCCCCCGCCCCCCCCTCCCCCCCATTCGTAGATGGATGGGTTGCTTGATTGATTCATTGTTTAGTTGCTGGCCCCCCCATCACCTACCTCCCGGGCCATGCGTTCCTTTGTTTGCCGGTACAGTGTTCCCCGCCCTCCCCCCAAAAAAAGAAAGCTTCATTGATGATGGGTTGCTTGCTTGCTTAACTAACTGCCGGATTGATAGATTGATTGACTGAGTGATTGATTTGTTGATTGATTGATTGATGTTGGATTGCTTGCTTGCTTGACTAACTGTCTGATAGATGGATTAATTAGTTGCTGGATTGATTGATTGACTGATTGACTCATTCATTCATTCATTCATTCATTCATTCATTCATTCGTTCATTCATTCCTTCATTCATTCATTCATTCATTCAGTCATTCATTCATTCATTCATTCATTCATTCATTCATTCATTCATTCATTCATTCATTCATTCATTCATTCATTCATTCATTCATTCATTCATTCATTGTTTGCTTGATGGATTGATTGATTAGTTGGTTGGTTGATTGATTGATTGATTGATTGATTGCCCCCCCTGCCCCACCCCCCCACCCCCATGCCCCTCTCTCGTGCGTTTGATTGATTGCTTGATTGAGTGATTGATTGATTGATTGATTGATTGATTGATTGATTGATTGATTGAAGTGACTGATTGATTGATTGATTGATTGATTGATTGATTGATTGGTTAGTTGATGGATTGATTGATTGAGTGATTGATTGATTGATTGGCGCCCCCTGCCCCCCACCCCCCCCCCCCATCCCCATGCCCCTCTCTCGCAAGTTAGATTGATTCATTGCCCCACCCACCCCCCCGCCCTTTAAAAAAAGGGCTCGTGCGTTAGATTCATTGATTCATTGCCCCCCCCTCCCCCCCCCCCCTCCCACCCATTCGTAGATGGATGGATTGCTTGATGGTTGATTGATTGATTGATTGCTTAATTGATTGATTAATTGATTGAGTGACTGCGTGAGTGAGGGAGTGAGTGAGTAAGTGATTGAAGGATTGATTGATTGATTGATTAATTGATTGATTGATTGATTGATTGCTTGATTGATTGATTGATTGATTCAGTGAGTGAGTGAGTGAGTGAGTGATTGATTGATTGATTGATTGATTGATTGATTGATTGGTGCCCCCCCTGCCCCCCCCCCCCTCCCCATGCACCTCTCTCGTACGTTAGATTGATTGCCGGACCAATGTAACCGCCCGGGGTTCTTACTGTGCAACTTCTATACTTCTGGTGTGTTTTGGGTGTGCCCAAACATGGAGGTGCAAGACCCCGCTCAGACTCACATGCAGCTTCTTTGCAACCCGAGTCCTATCTTTGATCGACCCCAAGCGGTCCTGGCACGGGTTCGTAATGCCGTGATTGAGTCTCCAAAACCCCCAGAAAGCGCCTGGGCCAAATCAGCCCACGGGCAGATCTCGGAGGCTCCAAGTCAGAGCCGCATTGATTGCAAGTGGAGTGCTCCACACCTAAAATGAAGTAACCCGTTTTCGCACGCAAGGCGCTGTATCGCTTTGGTCAACGCAGTGTGCGGTTCTTCTTGTTCCAGTTGGCTTTCCATGGTTCCCCTGGTTTGGTGTCCGTTTCTTTTTTTTCAGTCGGCTCAAATGGATGTGTGCCAAAACCCATGCTTCTGGAGACGAGCTCAGAGGCCAATATAAGCAACGCACAGTCCTGGTTGTCGGTTGTCGTTGGCCCCCCCTTGGTTGTTGCTTTCTGGTGGTAGTTGGGAATTATTATGTCTACGTATGTTATCAACGTAATGAGCGGCAACCATGTACTACCTGCTTCAACATGAAGCTGCAAGATAATTGTATGTGTTGTAATTATGTTATTCAGAGGTGCGTGTTACTGTATTAACTGAGTGGTGACGCGTACGCTTGTCCCCCCTTACTCTAAGGGTCCGATTCTCGAAACTTGCTCCCCCCAACAACTCGTTTGAGAGCCCCGCCCAAGAAAAGGAGCAGCTTGGGGCTGCGAGATGTAAAGTATCGTTAAAGGCTAAGCAGTGAGCACCAGCCATACCGACATTTGCAGTGTTCCTCCGCGAATGGCAATTTGTTCGAGAATCGGTCGAGCAAAGGCATGACCGTCACAGGAACCTGCCCCCTTCCCGCTCATACCCTGTTCTGCTTTGTTGGCATCGACTTGGTTGGTGTGATGTTGCCATGTTGGTCATCGTTTCCGTGATATCTAAAATCAAATCGGAGGACTCTGCTTTTTGCAACTCAAATGTGCAGGGATTTCCCAATATTATTCGCATTTCCGACAGCCCTCAAAAGCATAGGGGGTAGGCAAACAACATGTGTGTTGTTTATCTTTTTCTCCGGCTTGTCTCAGACATACATGTTTGGCCTTCAAAGGGAGTTGTCTCTCGGTGGGATTAAAAGAGGGAAATCTAGCTGAGCAGGTCAGAACGAGCTCACTTGAGGGGGTCACATCAGCTCACCCATGATACTTCAGGATTCCTGATTTGCGATTTGGGAAACATGATAGTTTGCCAACAAATACCCGGAAAATCCAATTGATGATTTTGGAGGGGTAAGTAGAATCTAATCCAAGTACCTCCGTAGGTATGTGGACCCTCTGGGATATACAGAACCCTTTTCAGCTTCTTGTTTCAAAACTGAGGTTCTGCAGCAAGAGGTACAGACAGTGGCCGGCATGCTCGGACAAGTGGATTTTGAGAAGCTGCGAGTGCAGATCCAGGAGACGTTGAGCTTAGAAGCGCCTCCCACCCGGCACCCCCCCTCACGGGCTTATTGCGGGTCCCAAGCTAAGCAGGGTTGCTCGGAACCTCAAAACAGTGGCCAACTCGCAAGGATAGCAATTTGGGGTTGGGTCCTCTCGTGTCAACGAGTCTTCGGAACAAACCTGCTAGACCTGCGTTCTAGGTGACCTTTACCAGGTTTACCGCTCATTTGGGCAGGGCACCTTTGGCTTAGCAATCCGCTTGCGGCCTGTGCATAGGACCATGCGGACGCCAGGTGGAAGAATTGGTCAGTCGCCCTGGGCGTTGCTTGCACGGAAGGTGTCGATCGTGGTGCCTTGCTTTTGAGTGTGGGAGATGGTTGACACATCAAACCTTCGGAAGGTTTGCTGATTTCCCAGGCAAAGCCGCATGGAAATGTCCCTGAGCCACTCATCAATCTTGCCATTTCGTACTCAGAGCGCTTCCCTTTTCGCCAAAGCCCAGGAGCTGTGGCTTGTACAACCGCCGGCAGCGCCGCTGGCGCCTGACGTCCCCGAGGTAGCGCCGGAAGCGGCCGAGCCTGATGCGGCGGAAGCGGCAGAAGTGGACGAGTTGCGGCCGCTCTTCCAACCAAGGGACGCAGCCTTTGGGCAGGCGGGCGAGCCGATGTTCGTTTGCTTGCGACCTCACCAAGTCGTTTGCGACCTGACCCATGACAAAGCTTTGGTGCATTTGGCTTGGATGTTAGGACTTTAACTTTTTCGCCAACTAATGGGTTTTCCATTAAACCACAAAAAGTTAAACTTTTAGCAGGGGAGCAGATTTCGCAACCGAGAAAAGGATCTTTGATCGGATTCGGATGTTACAAAATCCTGGTTTCCATGCCCACTACGCTGCGCTTCTCGAAAGTAACGATTGGAGCCCTCCCGATAGACTCCGACAAGAACTTGCGCAGGTTTTGCGCGGTCAGTTTTGGTTCCCGGAGGCCTTCTATTGTAAATCCGGAAGGGAGGTGACAATGGACCCTCCCAGGCCTGCCGCACAGATTGTATCTCTTAATTCCTTTCGTGGTTGACCGGACAGAGTTTTTTCAACACGGGTAAGACGCCTAAATGCCTGTCTGACGCATGCCATCCACAAAACCTGAATCAACTGCTCAAGCCAAACCTAAGCTAAGCTTACCCTGAACCGTCTGGACCAACCTTGAAACCAATCTGCACACCACGTAAACGCGCTACACCAACCCTCATCCCAAAAGAGACGTGAAACCAACCAACAATCCACCTTCAAACAAAACCACCACTATGAATACTCAAACAGCCCAAAGCCAAGTTGAAGTCCGTCCTCGCCAACCCAAACCCCATCTCAAGCAATCCAATACCTCTCCCCAGCATAGACAAATTCTGAACTATTCGTCAAAACAGCCATCCCCAAGCATAGCCCAACAAAAATCCCAATCATAACCCCATCCGGCACGAGCCTTAATTACGAGCCTCCACTATTCTACACAACCCACCCCGGTGCTTTATACCCGCTTAGACTTGCCTAGACCCGAACAAAGTCGACACCAACTGCCCGAGGGAGGCTCCCGTTACGGCCGTGGAACTGGACAGAAGCAATGGACTTGGACGGAAGATGGTGCATGAATGGGTTTCCATGTCTCTGCATGATTTATGGCGAGCTCACTTGGGGGTAAAACCGACTCATGAGAAAGATCCAGTACTTGGGATCCAAGTCTTGTTTCAGGTCTTGGACATAATATGCCTGCGGGTCAATAAAAGGTACCCAAATGGCTTGCCCCGGTAAATGGAAACATGGACTAAAGCCTGTGGTTCTCTGGCGATTGAATTTTGACCCATACCCAGCATGTTGCAAAACAAATGGCAGTACATGTCTTCCAGTTGTCCCCAAAGAGCATAGCAAGCCCTGCAGAAGCTCCTTCGCGAGGTGCGGCAGGACTTCTTCGCGCGACTGGAAGCCATCAGCACGAATGTGGAGATGGAGGAGGGGGGGCCAGGAAACGGATTCGGGTTGCAGAAAAACCCTCCTTGGGGCCTTGGTGCTGACTTGGGCTGATTTGGATCCAGTTTGGTGGGTTCCAAGGCAAGGGCTTTGGGCCACATCACGCCAGAAGCTAGGTCCCAGTACAAGGAAATGCTGCGGGGTAACCGCAGGGGTGTCGAAGCACATGCGGGTAACCGCCCAAATGGGGGGGGGGAGGTATTTTTGGGGATGGTATTGAACGGGAAATCACGAAAAACACATCCACGTAATGTTTTAGGCCCCCTGTTTTTGGCAACCTTGGGGGAGGGGGTGGAGCGGGCTGGTGACAGTCACAATGGCCAATACCTGTGGTTTGCCTGAAAATAGCGGACTCTGCAAGAGGTAGGTTGCCTTTGTTTTCCCTTCAAAGTAGCCGAAAAGGAATACCTGCTCAAAAAGACACACCAGTTTCAAGATTTGGACCCCATGCGAAGGGTCTGTTTGCTGTTTCTTTTCTTTCTGCCAGGAGTTGCTGAGCTCGCTCCAGCAGCAGTCCGCGCAGTGTCAGGATCGCGCCGGGGTCCGGTGCAACTCACGTTTGTTTCGCTCCAAACGGCACAGGGGAACTCGCAACCCGCCTGTGCCTTGAGGCACAAAGCCCTATTCTCAGGGGTCTCTACATGGAGCATAAGGTCAGTTTCGTGCTGAAACCGTTAAAGGCTTAGGCCCATCTAGGAAACGCTCCCGCCTGTTTCTATGCACTGTTAATCTTTGGGATCCGAGCTCAACATGACCGCTCTACCGAGGCCACTCAGTCCGTGAGTTTCGGAGTGAAACTTGGTTCTCGGGGAATCATTTTGGAATCGATGGGATCGAAGGGGATTTCTCGAGGAAACTACCAGCTGGTTTTGGTGTTTTGTTCTTTTCTTCCGAGGTCATTCCCCCATTCCCCAAAAAAAACCAAAGCGGCCCATCTGTTTTGGCACGCACCAATTAGCAGGCACGTGGACCATTGAGGGCCATGTCCCACAGCGCCGTGGTTCCCCTGCAGGTCTCATCGCCTCCTCCAAATCAATTTTACCTTGTTTTGTCTTTTTCGAAGACTACAAATGAAGCATACTTGACATGTTGCTTTCTGTGTACCCCAATGTGAGCCAAGTTGTCCAACTTCAATCTTGGCCAACCCAAGTTCACACGGTCCTTTGACAATTTAGTTTTGCCGTTGCTGATGTGAGCCTACCATTGCTGCCAGCATCCCAGTGTTGCATGTTTGGGTAAGGAGTGTTTTACAGGCTCAGACTATCACTTCGTCCTTGGCGAGTGGGCACGGATGTCAGCATTGCGCAGACTCAACATGTTTGAACTTAGATCTCATCGCTATTTCTTTACTCCGAGCACTCACCGGTCGTTAGTCGCTGATATGGGAAGGAACCTGGGGATCCCTTGAAAGGAGACCGATCAAGGCTTGGACAAACATCACATCTGAGACGGAGCGGGGTTGCCCCACTGAGGGTTTTTCTCTCGTTTTCCTTTGGGGGATCCAGTTTTTGTTGGACCCAACGCCGAACAAATAGCATGGAGGTCAAACAAGCAGGAGTTTGACCTTGCGGAAAAAAAAGGCAAAGGCAAAGGTCACCACGGGTTCCAAGGAGCTTTCGGTCTCCACCACCAGCACTTTGCAGGATGCTGGCCGCGCTCTGGGCCGCGCTCTCGCGTCCATGGCCGCAGATGTGGCGCCTATCTCTCTGGAGGCGATCTGTACATAATATGCATATGTATCTTGGTGGTTCCCAGCCATCCCCTTATCCTTTTAGCTTTTTAGTGTTGTGGGGATTTTCATTTAACCCACTAAAAGTCAAACCTTTAGCGGGGAATCTGAGGACAGCCCAGGTATGTATATAATATTGTCTGACATGGCAAATGTTCAGGACTGAACATAGATGGCACAATTCGCAAGGATGACAAAATCGGAATGTATGAGGGGCTAGACTTGTTTTGTTTTGTGTACAAATTCATGTTGAACAACAACCAGCCGACCTTTTGGGAGAGCACTTCTAGTTCTGTGCAATTTGTACGCACAGCTCTGTGTGGCTGGGTCCATGTTGCGTTCTGATTGAGCCCCCCCGCCCTTGACAGGATGAGTCTTTGAAGGCGGCCCGTCCCTGTTTGCCGGTTGCTTTCGCCGGTGTAAGCGTCACGCGGGTGTGTGTCAAAATAGGGGCCCCAAAATGGGCTTGCTCTTGGTTTCACTTTAAAAGGGTACCCTCAAAGACATTTTTCCTTTTGGTTGGGGGGGCCTCTGTTACTTCGTCTTGCCGTGCAGGAGCATTGGCAGAAGCAGGCATACAAGGCTGGGACGCCATGCTTGAGGAGGGTGCCTGGAACAGACTCACAAGCACTGTCATCAATGCAATGTATATGTTTGATACAAAGTGTTTTCCTTCACTTTGCTGATTTTTTTTTCTTGAGTTGCAGACGGCATTGTTTAATCAGCAACTGCTTGGGGATATTGTGCAACTTGGGACAGTGCCACATTCAAGACACCATGCACCAATGACCCTGTATGTATTTCTGCGTCCATTTCTAGTTGACATGAAGTGTTCTGCTTTGCAGCTGCATGGGGGAAAGCTGGACAAGTTTGACTACAGGCACATCGTTCAATCCTCAGTAGAACGAGCTGACCAACTGAATCTGTGGACGTGCCTGTAAAATTTCCGTCACTTTGCTCTTTGCGGCATAGGGCGCAAGAGCCTTGTTTCGTTTGCCCTTGTCTTGTAAAGAAGGCCCACAAGTGGCCATGGCCAAAATGCAGTTGCTATTCAGTTAGTAGCGTTGTTTGCATATTCGCCCTCCATGCAAGACCATAGCAGTTGTATTCCAGTGTCTCCTTGCCTGCTTTCCAGAGTTCGGGCATGCCTGCGTCTCCCAGACATTCCCTCCAGGAATACAGAATTGGCCTCCGCAACGCGGTGTTTCACGATGCGACGAATCCGTTGGGCCGGGGTAGATATTTATTGGGCCACTTGCCCTGTCCAGGTGGCCAAAGACGGCGCGGCCTTGATAAAGGACCTGGAGACTCTATTCAGCGACAGCTTCGCCAGGCCGGGTTTCCTTGCAGGGCGTTGATTTGGGCGTACGTACATGTTGACTTTGGGAAGGGGTTAAGGCTCTCCCTAGCCTGGGATGATTTCTGATTCTTGCCGGAAGTCCCTGATTTCAGGTTAGCGAATTATCATGGCGCGGATGTGGATTGTGAAAAGCGGCTGGTTGGTTCATTACAGACATATAGGATCGTGTTCTTTCTGCTGGTACCACGATTTAGACTTGTGCCTCTTGCTTGTTTGTGTGTTTGCTTGCTTGCTTGCTTGCTTGCTTGCTTGCTTGCTTGCTTGCTTGCTTGCTTGCTTGCTTGCTTGCTTGCATGCTGGCTGGCTGGCTGGCTGGCTGGCTGGCTGGCTGGCTGGCTGGCTGGCTGGCTGGCTGGCTGGCTTGATCTACTTGTTTGTTTCTTCTCCCCCGTGTCGGGTTGAAGCGTGAAATTAGGGTGTTCGGATCGCCTTCACAGGCTGCCTGCGAATCGATGAAGCCTGTTTCAATGTTCCTTGCTGTATGAGCTTACCTTGCTACCTGGCATGCAAAGGTAGCAAGATGGGTGAAGACTTCACGCGCTTTTGAGCGTCTTCTTTCTCAGACATACGTGAAGGATCTCAGTATGGCTTTGGGACTCCCAAAATGCGTGGTGTCCTTTTTGTTTTCCCTTTAGACTCCAACCAATACGGGGGTTCTCCCAAAAAAGACAGCCAACACCCTGCTCGGCAGCACTTTTCCGACTAGGCGCAATGCGCCAGGCCTGGGGAGAACCTGTGGCCGGACATCCACACGGAGTGCGAGAATTTCCTGCAGAAGATGCTGTGCCCTGGTCCAAAGACGGCAATGGCTGTTTGGGGGGGAAGGAGGGGAAGTTAGCACTGAAGAAGCCGGACGGCCATGGAAGATTGACACCGCGTGGGCTAGATCTTTATTTGGCTGACCTTTGAGTATTAGTGTTATATAACAAGAGTCCGCACGTGCATGCCCATATGTTTTGTGTTGACTCAGGTGTTGCTTAGTAAATAGCGTTGCCCTTGAATCATTGAATCCATTCACCCATTTGATGACGTATGTTTTAATCATATATAATGTGCGCAACACTCTTAGGGAGTCTGGATGTCATTCCAGTGGATTGCTTCGACCCCGCTGCCGTTGGTTTGTTTCGTTGATGGCTTGATTGCAATTGTGGTGTTGGTAATTAGGCAGGCATGCCAGCTAGTTGCCATGTCATGTTCGGCTGTCCTGCAGTGGTACTTAATTACAGACTTGTGATGACCAGTGCCTTTAGCCGGGACCCATCTAGCATTTCTTGGAACCTGCCCATGTAGCAGCTAGAATTGAGCGAGACATTGAGAGAGAGAGAGAGAGAGAGAGAGAGAGCCAGGTGTTCCCCTACCCGCTTGAGCGGTGCAAATGAGGGGGTGAGGTGATTGGTACACAATTTGGACGACTCCCTTTTTGAATTAAGGGGAACCATAAGTACCACAACATTTCGTTGCTGGAACAAGGGTAAGTCCCCCTGATTTCACGAGCGGGAGAGAGGGCGGCGCGAAAATGGTCAACCCCAAACAGGTTTCCCTTGTTCTACCAGGTCGCTGGACAACTGGGAGACACAAATTCCTTGTTGGAGCAAGAGTAATGTCCAAATGGGATTAAAAAATGCACGCGGAATAAAGACAAATGGGGGGCCCAAGAAAAATAATAAATGCACCTGGATTAAAGACAAGCACCCGCCACCCGCGCCAAAAACAAGAAATCCCAAAAACCAAAAGAAAGAGAGAAAGGAGAGGAGAGATAGCCAAGCCAACACCCGGTCCTTGGATCTTTGGTACCTTGTTCCTTAAATCCCAAATTGTCAGCTTTACCAAACCCATGTTTTTCTTACATGCCTCTTGTTTAAAACCTGCCCACAATCAAACCCACAAAGGGGGTAGTACTTCAGCCCCAACTTGACATTGTTTCACGGGCCCCCGAAATAAAGTTTTGTTGCCTGGCCCCTGAAAAGTACAACCTGCCCAGTGCAATTGACTCTTAGCTAGTCAAGTAATTAGACAGCCTAGGTGAGGCTGGCAATGCTTCATGCTGTGTTGTTAGATTTGGGCCTGCTCGTCAAATCCCAAATTGTCAGCTTTACCAAACCCATGTTTTTTTCTTACATGCCTTTTGTTTAAAACCTGCCCACAATCAAACCCACAAAGGGGGTAGTACTTCAGCCCCAACTTGACATTGTTTCACGGGCCCCCGAAATAAAGTATTGTTGCCTGGCCCCTGAAAAATACAACCTGCCCAGTGCAATTGACTCTTAGCTAGTCAAGTAATTAGACAGCCTAGGTGAGGCTGGCAATGCTTCATGCTGTGTTGTTAGATTTGGGCCTGCTCGTCAAATCCAAAATTGTCAGCTTTACCAAACCCATGGTTTCTTACATGTCTCTTGTTAAAAACCTGCCCACAATCAAACCCACAAATGGGGTAGTACTTCAGCCCCCAACTTGGCATTATTTCAGGGCGAAATATTGTTGCCTGGCCCCCCCCAAGAAAAACAAAAGGAAGCTTCAGCAATACTAATCAAATGGAAAGCCAAATTTACCAATACTAAATCAAATGGGAACTCAGTTCCAAATTTCAAAAGGAAGCTCCAGCAATACTGATTCAAATGGAAACTCAAGTCTACCAATATCTACCAATACTACATCAAATGAGAACTCAGTTCAAATTTCAAAAGGAAGCTCCAGCAATACTAAATCAAATGTACACTCAAGTCTACCAATACTAAATCAATTGGGAACTCAGTTCCAAATTTCAAAAGGAAGCTCCAGCAATACTAAATCAAATGGAAACTCAAGTCTACCAATACTAAATCAATTGGAAACTCATGTGAACTGGATCTCAAGATTGTATTCCAATCGTTGGGGGGGGACCCCCTTTACTAATCCCATTGGACATTATCTCACCCAGATGCAATTGGAATCTTCGATCCTGGAAACTTCTTCAGGGCGATGCGGAACCTTGCAGCAGAGTCTGGCATGGCAGCTCTCTATGAAGGCACGGGCCCCCCGACCCCACAGCAGCGAGAGAAGCGTTTCCCACGGTTGGGCAGCCACCCCGTAGTTCCTTTTCAACGGAAACCAGAAGGAGGTTGTGCGAACTTGAACAATAGTTGTTTAACCCTGTTCAAACAAGGTGGCCTTCCTTGGCTGTCATCAAATGGGACCTTTCATCTCAAGTGGAAACAAAATGGAAGCAAACGGGTCGTCTTCGTAATGTCCTGGATGAGAGCTTGGTGCCTTTTTTTGGGGATCCGTCGATTCGAGGGATGTTGCACGGTCGTGTTTTTCTTTTGCCCGGTTTTGGCCGCTGGGCCTTGTTTCGATTGCTGGCCCCGCGTTTGAAGGTCCGAAAACGGGGCTCCTAGTTTTCGAAGACCGCCAGACTACTCTCTCAAACTTAATTTGTCAGAGCTGCCTTTTGTTGAGTTGCAGTACTGAATTTCCCCCAGGACTTCTCAAACAATACAATTCAGCCATTCACTACATTACAGCAACAGTAATACAATCGTTTTCAGCAGACCACAAAATACGCCACCGTCTGGGGGGGGATGGGAATGTTCAGGTTTGTACTTAGTCTTCAAAACCCTCCTGTGATCTGCCAAGTTGAGTTGCCGGGATACTGTTTTCAGGGCTCCCTATATTTCCCTTCCAGCCCGTTCAAACATCTCCTTTTGGGCCTCTTTTCGTGAGTTCCTCTTGGTGATGTTTGGGGGGAATAGGGAGTCCTGCTATTCCCTTGCCAGGCTTCATCCAGACTGTAACGGCGTCGGTGGCGCACGTCGCCCAAGACTCAGGCCGCGTGGTCGCGGGCGGCAACCTGCCGCCCGAGTTGCGCGCACAGATCCAGGCGCAACGTCCGCGCTTTGGTTGACTGGGTGCATTTGGCTAAATTGCTATACCCTCCCAATAAGCGTGGCTTGGTGGGCAGGCTCTCTTTAAGAGAAAACGTGTTTTCCGAAATTTGTACATGTTTGTTAGTGACAGGGTAAGGTTTGGTTTCTTCTACGGAGACTATGCCTAATTTGTCCAAACCCCCTGAAGATCTGCGAAGCCCAGGACCGCAAGGAATCCGAGCACAGTTGCCCAGGTTTCACTAGTTTGATTCACGTGGGCAGTGCCTCGAAAATTTAGCCCCCCCCTCCTTTGCATGATGGCGTACAATCGGAAAGACAGGTGGACGAAAACGGAAGCAAGGAAGGAAGGAAGGAAGGAAGGAAGAGGAGGAAGTGTCTGGGCTGCTCACCTGCGCGATCCAAGTCCTGGGTGGAGCGAATGGACGCAAGGTCGGTTTCATGAGTCACGACACCCTTCGAACAACGAACACGCAATCTGCATGAGCTCCGTCTCGTCTGAGTCCTGAGAGAGCATGTTTTCTAAAAACACAATCATTAAGGTTCTTTGCGTGTTTCTCAAGGGAGGTCATCTGTCATTTAATTTGTTTCCTTGCTTGCTTTGCATTTGTCATGATTGACCCAAACCCAGAACCTCTACGAACGATGCTTAAAATTCGCTCGAAGTGCAATAGTGTGTGGCATTCGCAGTTCTAAGTAAACTGGCCAGGGGCCCATACTAGCATAGAACCGACTTGAGCAACTCCCCAAGCCCCTCTTAGTCAATTTAGCCAGGAGTTCCATTTTTTGCCTCAGAGCGGATTAGAGTGATGCCCATGAGCCTTCGTTACTATCGAATCAATGAGTGAAATCCAACAGCTGGACAGCCTTCAATTGCCTTCAAGCTTCACTGGCCTTTGCCTTCAACCAGTCCATGTTATTGGATCTTCAAGCACATCTCTAGAGAATGTGTCACTTTGCTTGAACGACCTTTGGGCTGCCCACATGGGCCACAATCAAAAACCCGGGTACATGAAGATTAACCCAACTGCGGCCGCCCTTTTCATTCTTTACATGGCTTTGGTTACACAATGTTGATACCCTCTTTGAGTTCTGACTCCCTTGGTTTCTTAAAACGTTGGCCCTTTTTTGGTACCCTCTCTCCCACTAACATGGCACCTGACAGGGGGTCCCTCCAAGAGGAAATTGATCTTCCAGGTACCCTCCCTCAGGTGCCATGTTAGTGGGAGAGAGGGTATTTAAACTGAAACTCAGGGGGCACCAAGAGGAAGCCCACCGTTTCAGTGGAGCAAGCCACGTCAACCCGTCGCTTCGGGAGGAAGTCTGGGAGCAGCACGTGGGCGCCCGCTCTCATGGCGACGGCCGCAGCGAGCGCTCGGGGTCGGAGACGCGGTCCTCGCGGGCGGTCAGCCAGGCGCGCGGAGAAAACTGACGCGGTGTTTTTGAGTTGTTCAGTTTTTTGTGTTTTTTTTTTTGGGGGGGGGGTTGAATAAGAAGGCCACCACCAGGATTCAAATGTGTTTTTGTTTTGTTTTGTTTTGTTTGGGAGGGGGGTGGTTGAATAAAGGGCCATCACCAGGATTCAAATGTGTTATATAATATGTATATATGTTCCAGGCCGTGGACCCCCCCCCCCCCCCCCCCCCCCCCTGTGGGGGTGGGGTGGGTGGGTGGTGGGGTGGTGGTGGGGTGGTGGGGTGGTGGTTGGGTGGTTGGGTGGTTGGGCCAACCCCCCCCCCCTGTGGGGGTGGGGTGGGTGGTGGGGTGGTGGGGTGGTGGGGTGGTGGGGTGGTTGGGTGGTTGGGTGGTTGGGTGTGGTTTAGGCTTGGTGGGTTGGTTTAGGGTTGGTTCAGGGTTGGTTCAGGGTTGGTTTGCGGTTGGTTTCGGGTGGGTTTGGGTTTTGGGTTGATTTAGGGGGGTTGCAGGGTGGTTTGGTTTAGGGTAGGATGTTGCGAGAGGTGCGGGGGTGTTGGCTCACGGGGTGAAAGGGGGTCTGGGACCGAAGCTGCAGGGCTCGCACGGTACTGGACAGCATCCCCAGCATTGCCAGCATCATCCCCAAGATGCGGATGATGCGGGGGAGTGGGGGGACCATACCATTGGGGGGGGGGGGGGGGGGGGGGTACGTGGCCCAGGGACTGGTACATATATATATATATATAAGCAACACTGGGGGGGGTTACTTAGCTGGTGCCATAGGGAGGGGATTGAGGGAAGGAACCCAAACAATTCCCTAGGAAACCACCAGCTGGATGGACTATAAGGGTCATTCCATTTGTCATTCCCTGCCACCAGGAAACCCTGGCTTAAAGAGACCAGGAACCCATGTTGGATGGAGGGGGTGAATCAAAAGGGACACCACCTGGAAATTCACTATGTTCAGGGTGCCTCTATTTTGATACACACACACACACACTTATATACTTCTGCCGGTTGGACTGCTTCAAACTCCTTTAAGAGGTGGAATTGGGGACTGGAAGGCTTTTGAATTATAGCAGTTTGCCCAGATAGCGTTTGGGAGCATCGAGCGTGGAAATTGGATACCCCAAAAATACAGCGACTATATTATACACCCATATAGGGGGAACCTTGCACCCAGAGATACAGCCCAGAAAATGCAAGAACTCAGCTTACAGGCAGTCGTCTTGGGTGGATCGGATCCTTACACCCTTCCTGCATCATATGGACACGGTGTTATTCCTACCTGGAAGTTGATCACAAGGCCCTTGTAAGGAATTATGATCCCAAGGGCTATGACGATGCAAGGAGTCAGCGAAAAATATGTGTTAGTTGCAAAGTGCTTGGCATTGGAGACATGTTCTTTCGTACTTGGCTCCACTCCCTTGCAGACAAAGGGGTGGAGAATTGTAGGACCATTCCTTGCATCCTTTCTTCTCGCCGATCCTAAAAAGATCCAAACCCATTCCGGAGCAAGGTTCGTCAAAGAGCCACAAAAGATCATAAGAAAACCTCCGGAACTCGAGTAAAAGGTGAAGGATGGCGTCTGCTTTCGTTCAAGATACTGCAAGCTTGCAAGCTGAACGCCGTTGTTGCATTGAGTGGGCCAGTGTTGTTGCTGTTCTTGCAACCATAGCAATGGCAACCATGGCTCAGAGCGAAAGTTGCAAACAAAGGACGCCGCGATGCTTGCATGCTCGCTTGCGTGTTTGCGTGCTTGCTTGGTTGATTGAGCGAGTGTTTGTTTGTCAGGCGTTTGCTTTTGCTGGTATGATTTGCTGGATTACTTGCGTGTTCCATTGTTGGTTCTGTTTTGTTTGTTAGGCGTTTGTGTGCGTTTGTATGCTTGCTTTGCTTATTGGCTTGCTTGCTTGCTTGCTTGCTTGCTGGCTGGCTGGCTGGCTGGCTGGCTAGCTGGCTTGCTTTTTCGGTTGTTGTTTGTTTGTCTCTCTGTCTGTCTGTTTGTCTGCCTGCCTGCCTGCCTGCCTGTCTGTCTGTCTGTCTCCATTTGTTTTGTGGCGTTTCTGTATTGGTTGATTCATGTGTTTTGTTTTCATGCTAATTACGGTGTCGCGGACACCTACATGTGGTGGTATGTGTTTGATCGCGGTCGTTGCAGACTCTCGCCCAGCTCAACTGCCAAGTTTGCAGTGTAATGGAAGAAGGGGTCCGATCCAAACTGAGGGTTGGTGGTTGGCAACACGTTTCATAGCGCAAGCTGGCTTTTACTTGCCAATTCCAGTTGGCAACCTAGAGAAAATATCGCTGATAGGGATCCTATTCGCGTCACGACGGCATCACTTGTTTCGAGCAGCTACCTTAACATTGTGCGACTCATAATATGCAGTCGCTTTGTGTTTTTCTTCGGAGATGCGATTGGCCCATCCTTTGACCACTTTCTTCGGGCGTTTTTGACAAACAACGCCTTATACTCAAAGAAGATGATCATCTCCTTCTTTGGGGCTTCCCTTCCATGATTCTTATACACTGCATACCGGTGGTTCCGGTCAACATCTGCCAACACAGGCCACGTTTAGAACTCCACCTGGGTCTCCCCGGCGCATGGGCCGCTCACTCACATTTGTTTTTTGGTCGGGACTGGATCGGTGGGCGAGGAGGCGCGGCTCGAGCGCCCCGTCCAGCCTTCAAAGGCGCGGCCCAGCTCGAGCTTCATGGGGGGTCCCCTCCTCAAAGAAATGGCCGTGGGTCAACGCCAATGGGATCCCATTTTGGGGTAGGTGAAGTCACCACCCATTTTAGGACCTATTTTAGTGGTTGGATTGAATCGGGTGTTCGCTGGGGGCAATTGCGGGCTTTTGACCCATGGCCAAATGTGGGGGGCGCTATAACCGGTAAAACAGTTCGGGGGGTCAGAGTTGGGCCTCGAGTAGTCTCTAAGTGCTGCTTAGTACTGGTTGGGAATTGTCTTCGGGCATTGCTTCAGTTGTCTTCGGTCCTGTTCGGTCCTGTTCGGTCCTCTCTGCCTAGTACTGGTTTAGAATCTAGACTCGTGTGAGTACTTCCATTGTTGGTTTAGAATTGGTCTAGTAGAGTTTTGTTGGTTCGCCCTGGAAAACGGTTTCACAATTGGGCACCCTTGCTTATTTCAACTATTGAGTGTTTGTGGTGGCCACGTACATAATCCCCCCCTTGGAATTTGTTGTTGGCTGCGCACTTTTGTACAAAGGACATGTAAGGAAATCGGCAGTTTGTGGACTGGGTGTTGTTCCGTACAAAAACATATTCTTTGTTTCCGGATTAAGTTCTGGATTGTTTCCCGGACACAAATTAAGATTATGTACGGCCTGACGTTGTCAACGTCTCTGCGGCAATGGTGTGCCGTAATGCATATGCTCGCTTGAACGCCCATGGCCGCACAGAACGCCCCATCGCACAAGGCCACCCGCATCGCGTCTGGCAACCTCGGCGGTGTCTTGCCAGGCGGCGCAGCGATCCAGTGGAACATGGTCACGGCTGGAGCCAATCAGGAGCTCGACGCTTGGGTGATCGCACACGCTTAGGCGGTGCGGAATCTGTACAACCGTGCAAATGCAGCGCATGGCGCCATCGGCCGATTCTGATCTAAGCGCGTGATCTCGTACACCGGGAGCAGGCTGTACCTCCGGCCTTGTTGCACCTTGCACCCTTTTACTACGCGACCATGGTGCAATAATCTTGCTAGAGCCAACGCGTAATCCTCTACGATACCCCAGATGTGCAGTTGCACCCTTTGTCCTCCTTTTTTAGGTGGGGTTGTGGCCAACAAAAGTCCTGCTTTTCCCTTGACCAGAGGCGGGCTTCATGGGAGAGATGAAGGGAGGCTCCATTCCGGAAATCATTGGTTGGTGCCAAACCCCCCCGCCTCCCTCCCAAAAACAAGACAAACAGCCGTTGTTTCTCGTACTTCAATCCCCAGAAAGCTTGGAGTCTTGTATCGTGGGGCTTTGACATGCCGCAGCAGCACTCAGATTTTCTTCCAAGCAATATTCAAGGGGGCACACCAGTTCTTGGTTGTGTGACTCTAAATGGGTCCTAACAATCGGCTTGAATTGGATGCTACACACTTGATCGCCCTTGCAAGCCGGAACCCGTTTTTTTCGAACCCGTTGACCAGGTCCCCTGACTTGAGGGCTGTTTCCCACCTATATCCCCAGGACTTGAGGGGGGGGGGGGGTGGTCGCTTCCCCATCGCCAGGTCTTGCGGGACGGGGAGGAGCTCCTCAAAGAGCTTGAGAGCATTTTCAACGGGAGTTGGGCCAGGCGGGTGTGTGCGGGGGGCGGCACCTGTGCGAAGTAACCCAATGTGTGATTTTCCCAAAAAGCCAAAAAGGAATGGGCATGGGTAAACAGTTAAGCTAATTCTTCCAAGAGCCCTGTTCTTAAGCAAGCATTGTTCGCATTTGAGGGATTGGGTGTTTTCTAAAGCAGGTAACCTAAGTGTTGCTTGATTCCTAGGAGACACAGAGGTAAATCAAGCATTTCTTGGCTTTGAGGAGACACCAATCCCTTTGGGGTCACCGCAAGAAACAATCGCGAGTGACCCCTGGGTTAGTCACATCGCAAAGTGGCGCAAGGGAAGTCGCTGGCGAACTCTGAGCAACAGACCCATCACCAGCACCATCAATGAATCAACTGTCGAGGCATCGTGAGTAGCAGACAACCACAAGAAGCCCACGACTAGTGTGTCAAAACTAGATTAAAAGAATACACACTGGAAGCGAGCATTGGGAAGTGGTGCTGTCGAATCTTTGAGCCATTGCCATTCTTTCAGCACCCAGACAAGCTGACCGGGCGTTCCAAGCTCCCGCACTTTCCCCTAGACAATCCTGTTCGAGTCCTTTGGGAGTTCTCCAAATCAGGTCTCTTCAACGCGCCTTCCATACCCTCCCCGCACAACATGGGAGTGTAAAGGGCTGCCAGCGCTGTGGCCTACCAATGCGCCCGTACTCGGCTCTAGAAAACCTCAAGCATGAAGCACAGACATGTGTTGGGGCGACAACTAGGTGTTCCTTTGATCCAACAGCAAGTTCATCTTTTGCAAGGCCCAAGTCTGCTTTCCTTTCTTTGCAAGGCCCAAGTCTGCTTTCTACTTGCGTATCATTCATTTACGCAGGCTTGTCTCAAAATAGGCGCCCCAAACAAAACATGTGGTTTCTCTTTTGGTTTCCCTTTCCAAAACCAAACGGGGTTCCCCCAAAAAAAGAGGGGACGGCGCCACCTGTGGCACGCGCCAGGCCGTGGGATGACTTGGGCCCGGACATCGAGGCGCAGATCACCGGCTGGCAGCAGAAGCAGCCCGAGGCTCATCCGGCAGCCAAGATGTACCAAGGCGCGTGGCAGGAGAGTTACTTGGGGGTTGATCGAAAGGTCCTGTTGGCAAACATGGGGTGACCATTTGGGGAGAACCATTTTGGTGGCAAACGCCCAGTTACGCATTTGTTGGCCAATCTCAGGAAATGAGGGATCATCTTGGAGTTCTGCAAGCGCATCTGGGGAGCGAGCCAAAGCCATGTAGGTCCTTTTGGGGCATCCCGTGTTTCAGGGTTTACAGTGACATTTGCACAACCAGATGTATATAGGCTGAACGTGTAGCTTTCCGGGTCCGGCCCTTTTCCAGCTTGATAGGGTTCCATCTGGGCAAATCATAGCTGCGTAAAAAAAAGGTTTGGCAGGACGAGGTTCCCTTCATCCCTTCTGGTTGGTTAGTCACCCAGCGATTCCAGTGGATCTCTTCCCCTCAATACCCAATGCTGAATATATTCATGAATAGACCTCCTGCACAATCAAGCGCAGCTTGCGTTTGGAATTTCCATGGACGTTGCGCCTTGAAAGTTTACAAATACCAAAGGATTTTTTGGATCGCATCCTAATAAACACAGGTCAAGCGCTGAACGGAAGTCCGGGCAGAATCATACATCTTAATGATAGTGCGCGTTCCAGCTCTTTGTTTCATGCGGAGAACCAATTGTCACTGTAGTAGGTGATGGGTAACCACAAGTTGTCTTTGTACGTGACACATGATGGCTTCCCAGATTGCTTATTATATGGCAACTGCAGCACTTTATCATCCAATACTTGGGTGCTAGTTGGTTGGCTCCGCTTTTTTGCACTTGGGGCAACCGCCACCAAGAATAGTTGAACATTCATTCGGGGCTAAACATGCGATGCCGCTTATGTCGACCTAGTGCCAAACTGGTCCAAATGATGCTGGTAGTGCTGGGGAGGCTGCCAACAGGGAAAAACTGCCCTGGGACCCTATGACAAAAAAAGAGCGGCAATTCCACCTCACGGTAAATTGGTAAACCGTTTGTCTATCTTGCGATTTTTGCTCCGGGAATCGTTATGTGTTTTTCACAATGAGGGCTCCAATTTTAGTTTCCGCGGACAACCACCCCAAACAAGGCACCCTCAAAAGAGTCATCCCCTCATACATTTGCCTGAAGATACTGTATATAATCTGAGTGCATGGTCAGTCAGGCAGAATCGGGGAAACACAATTGGCAAATGTCCACGACTTGCCCTACATTATCATTATTTGGGCTTGTCTCTAAATTGGGCACCTTTGCTTTCCCCTTTAACCACCCCCCCACCTTTGCTTTCTCCTTCAACCACCCCCCCCCAATAGGGTATCGAGCCTCCAAAAAGAGCTACCAATATTTCGCCTTGAGCACTATGGATCGCCTTGATTAGCCAAGCTGGAGCCCTTTCTGCAAGCAGACAGATGTGCTGCGCCCCGAAGGATTTGGGTACGCAGTGCGGTCTTCCAATAACTTCAGTCTGGTTTGAGTTGGTAGCAGTTGGTTGCGCTGCCAAAGTGGTGTAGGCAGCTGACCCTCGGTGATAATATCTGACAGCAGATTTTGGTTGAAGGCCCGATACGGGTGTGTGTCTTTTGAAAACCCATCGCTTTTGCTTGGCGTGAAAGGGAGACCAAAAGGAATGATGACAGCTGCTTGTTGGCTCCTATTTTGAAACACACCCATACAGAACAGTCCCGCTAGTGAAATTTGCTTCCTGGTTTTGGGCATGCGGGGGTTCACACGTCTCATGCAGTTGTCCAATGCAAATCGACCTTTCGATTTCGGGTTCTCACTTTTGTGCCACTTTGAGTGTGGTGGCCTCAGTGTTTCCGGTGTTTCGGACAAGTTCTTGGCAAATTGTGGTAGCAAGTTGAATACATCCTTTGGACACCCGCCCCCCCTCCCACCTCCCCCAAAATGAAATTAGTTGGTGGTTTGGATTGGTGGCTTGGGGATATGACCCCCCCCCCACCCCCCGACCAAACAAACGGAACGACTCCCCCCCATAGGTGTCTTTTTTAGGTGAGCCTGGTTACAAATGGCACTGGTTCGATGGGTCTTGTTCCATTTACTAGGGCCATCTATTTTTCCAACAAGGCCACCTATGCTCCCCCCGTTTCGAGTGCCAGACTTCGCCATCCTGGTGCAATCCACCGTGGCGCGGTCTGTGGATGGCGCTAGCCACCTGCGGGGGGACTTCCAGACGCTGAAAGCGCAGATTCAGGCGACCTGGGCGAGTGCCAGCCCAGTCCAATGTGATTCCAAGAGGAAGTGACAACCAAGACAACAAGATGGAACTTGAAAACCAGCCATTTGTAGGGTAGCCTACATACGGGTGGGTTTCAGATTCGGGTGGGTTTCAGTCTGGGTTGACCTCCTCAAGTCATTTTAATATTTCGAGATTCCTCATTATGCCAGATAGTGGTTGGATCCCAGCTATTTGGGACCCGCACCGAGTTTTTTTTTTCTTTTTTATTTTTTTGTTTCTCGTGCCATAGGAACCGCATTTGATGACTCACCGCTCAAAGTCAATCCTGATTCCTTATGAAAGATGGTAGTGGTTTCCCTTGTGATGCCCCTCTACTGTGTTGATTAGGGATTAGGATTAGGGATCCTCCCGATTTTGAACAGCCCAGGTTATCGCTGTAGTTTTGTGGGCGCTCCTGGAAACCTACTACAGAAGGAAATGGAATCCCGGGCTATGGTTGTCGGTTGTTTGGGTTCCAGGTGTCCTAAAGGATGATCAAATCAACTTTCAATGGTATTGGTGAATGGTTTCGGTTTTCCTGGGACCAACATTTCATGCAACTTGTGATTCGGGATTGCCTGTGATTTGCGGACGGTTGTGCTCGTTTCGAGGGTGTGTACGCTCGGTTTGCGCATTTGTTTTCGGTGTGATTCCTCAGCATTTGGACATTTTGAGGGACAAATTGACAAATTGGGAAAGCAAAGATGCGCACGGCCTGCTTTGTAGTTGTTCCTTTGTTGCTTCCTCATAGAAGATTTGAGTTGCAAATATCGAAAGGATTCACTTGTGCGTTGCAAAATAAAGTCCAGGATCCTTCGCCCAAAAACAGCAAGGCGCTATGGCCCTCTGGAATCTTTAGCCATGGCCCGATGGGTTTCTTTCTGCAAGCATCTTTCTGGTTCCTGGCTCCTTTTTCTGACTGGGACCTGGGGACGGATGCCTGACAGGTTGATAGTGATTGCTGCAGAGACATTTGAGCTTCATTTTTTTCAGAGCCGGCTCTTATTCTAGCCAGTGATTCCTCCAATCAGAAGTTGTCGGCGTTACGATGGGTGCTATTCTGCTGATCTGAGTCATGCAACATGAGCATTCCTGCTTGCTACTCCAAGCGTTCATCCTCCGGACTATGGTCAATCAGAGCAATGCAGGCCCTTAAAACGAAACACGAGTATCAAGCAAATGCATGTCAGCTGGGTGCAACAAGTTTTTCGCACTTTCGTTTCGTTCACCTAAAGGTTGGAATGGATGCTCCCCTGCAAGTTGTCTTACCTCAAACCACGAGCGTTTCAGCACTCAGTAGCAGCAAACCACTGCCTGTTTGGATGTGTCTCTTTTTGCTGGGTACCCTTGTAAAGGTGATGCTAAACGAAAACCACGGAAAACCGAAAACCATGTTATAGCCCTATTTTGAGACACCGTTTGGGGAGGCTCTTTTTGGCAGACCTCTTTTTGGGATTCCCTGTTTATCTTCACAGAGTTATTGCTTTCGGGAGCGCCGCGCGACAGGAATCCTGGATCAGCAGCACGCAACAGGACAGGGGGGGAGGCTGAAACAGGAAAGTGGGCTTCTCTCAAGAAAAGAACTCCCTTTCTGGCATCAGGTTTTACATTTATTTACAGGTGTCACTTTCCAACCTGGGCTGAAAAAAATACCCCGCGTCTTTTCGTTATGTAAGGGGCCGTCCCTGAACTTGTTTCGCAGGCCAAAACCATTGTAAACCGATACAGAGGAAGAAAAACCGATACCCCCAGAAGCCATGAAGACACACATCAGGTCCAAGTTGTTGTCGCAAGCCAAGATCGCGGAAACATAAATTTGCAGGGCCCAAACCGATACCCAAACCGATACCCAACCGATACCCAACTCAGTGGCCGCCACGCCGAATCCAACCAGCTGCCCTGCAGCCTTCCCTGGAGCTGCCAAAATGTACTTTGTGTACCACATTTGTACTACAAAACTTACTTGCACAGAAAAGCTGCGATTTTCGAGCCGGAGCTGCCAAAGTCTACTGCGCATACTACTGAAAAGTTGCGACTTTCCAGCTGGAGCTGCCAAAATGTACTTTGCGTACTAACTACACTTGTACTGAAAAGTCACGACTTTCGAGCTAGAGCTGCCAAAACACTGCAAACCGATGCAGAGGAAAAAGCCGATACTGACCGATACTAGGGCATAAGGATACAAGGGTTGTCCACGGGGTTATTTTTTCAACCCACCTGGACTATTTCGGAATTGGTTCTGCATTTGTCAGGTTCACCAAATATGGGCCAGAGTCAAACATACATGTTTTGGTTTGGGACAAAAGCTGAGGAAGTGTTGGATGGTTTTCAGGGGAAGCCAAACGAAAACAAGCACGAGAACGTGAAAACTCGGGGGTCAACGCCATCACGCTGGGGATTGCGAACGGCAAATGCCTGGCTGTGTGCCAAAACTGGGATCTCCTCCATTGGCCTATTCTACAAATGAACACATGTATCGGTCAGAATCATAACATGTTAATTTCTGTATACCCCACACGTGGGCCAAGAGAAAAATGTTCTGTACGTCGGCCGCGTGATGACGGTGCCCCAGCCATTCGGAGTGGGTGAGCGCGGGGGGTTGAGTAGCGGATGTGGGTGCGTCCTTTCCGAGAGTGCGAGCTTTGTGGCGTTATTGGCTGAAGGCGGCGCTTTGGCACCTTTGGGTTCAAGGGCGCAAAATCGCCAGGGAGAGCTAAGGCTGGCCTTATCTCATCTCTTGAAGTAGTAAGTGCGTGTGCCTTTCGGTTGAGTTACCCGTTTTTGGAATGGCCTAGAGCCATACCAAACAAGAATCCAGTTTGGGGTTGATTTGGAGACAAATCCAGGCGCGTGAGCTTGCCAAATGTTGGCCAATGTGGATTACGAATCCCCCCCCCTCCCCCCCGGCCGAATAAAAGAGCGAGGGATTTGTGCGACGGCCGAGGCATCCCTGAGTTCCTGGACTTTATGCGTTTTGGGAAGGCCATTTTAGGGGCAAAAGGTTCGGACCCGTGTTTGCCTCTTTTCATGGGCGTTGCCGCAAGGCCTATCGGTAGAACCAGCAGTTAACGGGTTTTGCGCGCTGATGGAAGGAAGTTTAAAGGCATTAAGTCAAGGCCATGGCCCAAATCCATGGAGCCTGCAAAGTTCTCATCGGCGAAAGCGATCGGCAGGTCAGGCGCTCTGCTGACATTTCGGCCCAGGCAAGGCTTCTGGGAGGAGACGTAGCAAACCAAAGCGACTCTTGCCATGGTTCCTACAATTCTTGTTGCTGTCGCAGTTTGCGCTACGTATTTGGCCCATTGTCTTGCGCAGGATGTACAGTGGTGGTACATTGTCAATGGTAGTTTGTGTCGCGGGCACGTGTGAATTGTGACTGCGCGATGAAGTTATTAGGGAAGCACCTGCCTTGGAGGAAGTGCCCCTACCGTATTATTCCCTCGAGCATGTGGGAGCAACAGATTGTTATATCAGGACATGTTTGGGGGGTCGGGCACTCTGCACGTGCGCGTGATTAATGTTCTTGATGCCACTACAAGTACGGAACCAATAAAAATTGCGGTGTCATATCCGAACAACAGTTCCCTGGTCGCCAACAGTAGCAAAGACGGATATCAGCTGCCACGCTTCATTATTTGAAGGAGCAGGGTCAGAATGATCATGGACATTCAGCATACAAGCTCCATTCCTGGAATCATGACCAGAATCTAGGCAAAGCGTTTGATGCGACATATTCAAGTAGACGAGACATGGCGAGACCATCGCATGTTGGACAGTCTTTCCTTCCATCCAACTCAGACGAGCATGTGTAACTTACGACCCACACACACGCATGTTGAACCATGAGACTGTGATATTTCTGTTCAGGATATGCGATGGTGTTTCTTCGCTATGGCCATGCCATTCATCTACATTTCGTCTTGAATCAGAATGGTTCCAGCATGAGCCGAAGCACGGCGTGTCTCAACTGATGCTATACCTTTCCCGCACAAGCGGCACAAGGCAGCTGTCCAGGTTCCATGGAAGCAGCTCTCAAAGCCCTGTTTGCCAGTTTCAGCGGGTGGATAGGGATGATCGTGACGGCGTATATCAGCCCATACCACTAGGGTCCCAGATCAAAGGTCGCGGGTTCTTGAAAGCAAGTTCTCACGGCGTTTCAGCACAAACCTGGGTTTGGCGGTTTCAGCGGCACGATTCGAAGGGCCCACAGACGGGCATCTGACAACTTATCAGAAGGGCGCCTGTCTCTCTCTCTCTCTCTCTCTCTCTCTCGCTCAACCCCAATCCCAGACAGATGGATTACCCAGGCGGTCACCAGGAATCCCTTGAAGGGAAGCAGATCCTTTCTGTGTCCGTTGGGTTTGCAGCCACTTGCACATGCTCCTTTCAAGATTCTAGACCGCCAATTGGCACTCGCACTACCTCTCGCCCTTGCCAGTCTTATCCAACACCCTAAGCATCCAGCCCTCCATAGCGGTCTGCACCTCCGTTGGAATTTGGTGATTGTCAAAGGCCTTTTGAGGTCCCAAGATTCCAGGCAGTTCACCGAAGGGTTTCGGAGCCCGGCCCTCGGAGCTTCGCAGGTGTCGGAAGACGGGGAGGAGCTTCTGAGGCGGCTGGAGGTGCTGTTCACCGAGAACTCGACCAGGTGCGGTTTCGGGCATGCGGCCTCACTGAAGCTTCTTTCCTGAGGGTTTGCTCGTGGATTCCATCGTCAAGGTCAGCGTCCTCTTATTTTTTGGTCCAATGGACAAGTGAGACAAATCAGCAGAGGGTCCCGAACTTTCAGGTTGAATGTCACGACAGAATAGTGCATGGGGTGTAGTATGACTTGTTTGTTCTGCATCAAGGGAATCAGTTTTTTCGCGCACCATGCTTAGTTAGGCTTAGTTGACCTTCGGGCTGTATGAGCTTGCAGCTTTACTGTTGTATTTGCTGCCGGTGCCAACGGTTTGCTGTTGTTGGAAGCAACCAAATCCACGTTCACCCCGGAAACTTGGGCATGTCCGAATTCCACGTGCCGACTAATCGACACACCGCTGCAAAGGGCCCACCACTTCAACGGGCGGATGGCCAGGTCCCCCCCTCCCCCATGTCTTCTGAGGCTTAGCTATGTTGTTGGGCTGTCCCATGAAGGTTCGTTTCGTAAGGGTTCGCCCCTTGGTTTGGTGCACAAGCCCACCATAAGCCAGGCCAACGCTTGCCACGCTCGATTGCCAGGCAGGCAGACCTGACTGCCGAGATCTCGGAGCAGATCGGAAGCTGGAGAGACTCGGCACGCGCATGCACCGAAGTGGACCTTTGGCTTTTTTCCTCTTTTTTTCTCCCCCGTGGCGTTGCATGATGTTTGATCACTTTCCGTGCAGTTTTTCTTGGGTGTTCCAATATTTTTCTATGGTTTCCAACTAGTTTTTGGGGGGGTCTTAAATTGCCCACAATTGTCAACAGGGAAGTTGTTGTTTGCCAGCCTATGAAGCACCCAGTTGTGATGGCTGGCTTTCCATGTTGATTTTTGGTTGGTTGTCCGCTTTTGAAACTGGCTTGGGTTTTCCGGATGCACGCGTCCTGTGATAGTTGGGGTGGCCCTAAAAGCTGACCCTTTGTGGAAAGAATGAGTTTACCTTTGATTCGGGGCGCCGGATTGAATCGGGGCGCCGCAGCATGGGTTGCTGCATCGCTGGTTGATCTGGGTTGAAAATGGCTTTGGGCAATGGTTGTTACGCCGTTTGCAGCAGTGAGAAAAAGGAAGCCTGGCCCCTCTACAAGGTACCCAGTCCAAACCTTTCAGGTACCCAGTTTAATCCCCCAGGGTACCTTTTACAAACCCGGGTCTGTTGCGGGTACTCCGCCCGACGCCCGCTGCGCTACGGGGGCATCCATCGCGGTCCGGCCAGGGCCTCGGCTGGTGCTTTCCACGAGTCTCTCCATCGGAAGATTTTTTAACTTTTCAAGCCCATTGAAGGGCTAACCTTCAGAAAAAAAAACACTGAGAAGGGAAACTCGCGTTCACAACTTACGGAACTTGTGTGTTTAAAACATACGCTTCTAAACCTCACGTTTTGGCAGAACATGAGCTACCAGTAAAAAGGTTCGTACTAGGGCTACGCGTTGGAGTTGACTTGGGTGAAAGACACGAGAAACGAAGGTGGCCATGCTAGTAAGAAACATAAGTACAAGGCTTACAAAGAAGAAGCCACCGTTACCTGTAAAACAAGGACTGGGCTGGGTTAATGTTATACCTGGGGGGGGGGGGGCAAATCTAGCTTTGACGGCCCAAACTGTGTTTTTTTTGGGGTTGGGACTCCCAAATCAAACTTTGGTGGCCCAAATGGGTTTCGGGCCACTATTTAAGGTGTCCGGTTGATCTTGCAGAGGCTACCCCCAAAAAGGACTCCCAAATCCGGTTTTGGTGGCTCACACACGGTTTCCAACGCATTTGTCATGTCCCGTTCAAATTTCAGAGGGTACCCGCAAAGGACTCGGGCGGCCCAAACTGGTTTTGGGACACTATTTAAGCATCCACTGTTTTGGGGCTCATTTTTTCAGAGGGCACCCACCAAGGACACCCGAACTTTGCTTTGGCAGCCGAAGCTGGTTTTGGCACACTGGTTTTGGCACACTTTTGAAGTACCCCAAATCCAGTTTTGACGGCTCAAACTTGTTTGCGGTCTTTTTAAAGAATCCCCCTTTGTTTCGGCTCAGATTTTGGCAGCCCTAAACGAGTTCTGGTGCATTTGCTGCCCTGGCTTTGCAAAAGGGATCGGCCACCAAGCACCGCAGGGCATGAAAACCTGCACCCTCAAAGTTACCCCCAAAGTTGTGGCTTAAAGGGAAACCAGCCAAACAGTAATTTTGAGAGGCTATTTTCAGGGACTCAGGGAAGATGGCAGTAGTTGCAGCAGGCGCTGCATAGTATGCACCCTTTTGGCTGAAGTCGCCCCCAAGTGATTTGGGTGCCGCATGAAGCAGCTCAACAGCACAAGGGGGAATCAGGAGACACATCTGCAACCAATAGAATTGGGGGGATGCATCCTTCTCCGGCAAGCATGGATCGCACCCGAATCGATGAGCTATCAAGCGATGGCGGGCCTTCAGATTCGTCTCGGGAAGAACAAAAGAGCGCAGCGGACAAGGGCATCTTCAGCCCAGCAGCGCTGAAGCAGAGACTACGGGTGCCCTGCTCTTGTGTGAAACCACATGGCCAGGGTCACCGCGCCACATCGCATCATGAGTATTTTCGCCAGGAGGGATTCGTCAAATATTTGGAATTCTTGGCGGCGTGGAGAGAGCTTCACAAACTAGACCAAGACCGCCTTGCTGCTCACCAAACAAGCTTAGAATCGTTTGTCTTTGGGCTCCCCTTTAGGTCCACGTTACTTCCCAGCTGCCCCACCTTGCATCGTAAATAGCTACACTTTTGGAAAGCGCTAGCCGAACTTGGCCTCAAGTTTTGGCCCCAACAGGAACTAACACATGACACATGCTTTTAGCTTTGCTGAGTTGTTTGATCGGCTACGCGACCTAGCTGTGTCTCAACAAGTTCTCCAGCCGCTTCACCACGCTCCTGTGCTTCAGTCAGCGACACCCACGCGCAGGCGACCCCTCACCTACTATTTCCTGGGCCAGAAAGTGTGCAGGGATGCTTGGCTCCGACTGCACTTCATTGGGAAATCCCGATTTCAAGTGGTCTTGAAAGCTGTGTTGGAAGGCAAGCTGTCCGCTCCAATGGATGCCCGCTACATACGCCGCGCGAAGAACACCACCGTGTCCCCGACTTGGGGCGAGGTTCACTCCTACCTGTTGCAGCTGTACCAGTCCGTTGCGGAAACCCTTCCCGATGACGCCCGCTCCGACTCGGACGGGGAGGTGTGCGCCGGCGACGACGAGGACGCCCAGACACCGCTCTTGCAACTTGAGACGCCGTCTGGTCAGCTTCTTGAGACGGCCCGGGTGCTACAGGAGAAGGGGGACAAGCCTCAGTGCTGGGAGGAGCGGTTTCTGCCTCCAGGCAGCATGTTCGACCAGTACAAACAGATGCTGGCGACCGAGCCCCACTTGTCATGCAGCTTCAAAACGTTTTGGAAAATATGGTGTCAGGACTTTCCTACGTTGAAGTTTCGCAAGGGGTTCCGGCACGCTGTCTGCTCGGTGTGCACAAAGCACAAGATGTTGATCAAGGAGCTCGCGCACGACTGCCGCTCTAGACAAAAGCAAAGACTTTTATATGACCGGCACCTACAATCGCAGTATGAGGACCGCAAAGTCTACTGGTCGATCAGGGCCGACAGCCGTCTCCACAAGCGCCCCATCATCCTCATCGCCGACTCCATAGACCAGTCGAAATTTTGCTGGCCGCGCCACACTGTTGCATTTCAGTCCCACCAGTTCGACGCCGTCATCCGTCCCAGACTGCACATCTGCGGCCTGATCATGCATGGCTGGCTGGACATTCTCACCATAAGCCACGCCGACGTTCACTCTGGAGGCTCTTTCACGATTGAGCTCGTCTCTCACGCCCTTACCTTGCTACAGAAATCTGGGGTAAGTTTGACCTCCCGCGAGCTTTACCTACAGTTTGACAACGCGGCATCTAGCAATAAGAACCAAACCGTGATGTCTTACCTAAGCATGCTGCCGCAGGTGAACGCAGTGCAGAACACAACTGCACTTTTCTTGAGGTCTGGTCATAGTCACGAGGACATTGACCAGCAGCACGGGCAACTCAGCTGGAATAGCAATCGATTCAAAAGGCTGCTCTCTTTTCAATAAAGCGTTCATCTAGCAGTCGCTCATCCTCAAAACTGCTTCACGCCCCACAGACTTCTAGCAGTTTCTGCTCCGGTAGCCAGAGGGTGCTTATGTTTATCCTTGATGCTCAACTTTGTTGAGAAGGTAGCGTTAGCAATGCTGAGTGCCAGTTTCCCAAGCCAAATCCAAATCCTCAACAAAAGCCAGTGACTTCAATGTTCTGGTTGACTCAACTTAGAAACAATACACCGGCAAGAGACCTCAAGCAGTGTTGGGGGAGGGATGAAAATAGAAAACCAAATGATATCTTAAACGTACAACAGGTGAGGTCACATGTCAAATGGAAGGAGATTGCGAGAGCAACGGTTTCTGTAAATTCCTGGACAAGATCTCCGTGGAAGGATCTTTGCAGGATTTGTGGAAGGGTCTCTTGGTAGGATCTCTTGGCAAGATCTGCACGCAGGATCTCCGAGAAAACCCTCTACAAGCTCTCTCTTCCAGCGCAAGATCTGTTGGGTGGATCTCTAGGCAGGACCAGCGCAAGGTATCTGTAGAGGATCTTTTCAAAATCTCTGCATAGGATCTCTGGGTAGAAAAAACCCTATACAAGTGTTCTGTTCAAGATCTGTAGAAAGCATCCTCCACAAGATCTCGCAGGGGCAGATCCCGCACAAGACCTCGACCGTTTTAATATTTTTGTGGGAGGATCGCAGCATCCCTGCGCAAGGGTTAGGTAGGATCTCTTGGTGAAATCTCTTGGTAGGATCTCACAGGCAGGGCCCCTTAGAGGACCCTCAGCGAGTAGGGAGCGCGCCCTCTACAAGACCTCTTGACAGGAACTCTTTGCAAGTCCTGCGCAAGACCTGTTGGGAGGATCTCTGAAAGGACCAGCTCGAAGTACCTTTGGCTTTTACAGTGTCGATGCGCAAGATCTCTTGAAGGATCTCGGCCAACCACGTTGCGTGAGCCTGCGCGGTCGAAACGCACTTCAAGATGTTAAAAAGGTCACAGTTGTACGTAAATGCCATCAGAAATGCTAACATCGGCCCTTTACTTTTGCCGTAAGAACCCCCTACTATTAACGCACTGCTTGGGTAAAAAGTAGCGATAGCAATGCTGAGTGCCAGTTTCCCAACCCAAAACAAACTCCCAAGGCCAACGACTTCAATGTTCTGGCGGAGGGTATCGTTTTTTTCGGTGACTGCTTGGCCAGATTTATTGCCCCCCCCCCCCAAACGAGGGAAAGGGCGAAATGTTACTTGATCGGGCAGCAGAGGCAGCTGGCTGCGTTCGTGCGGAATAATCTGCAGCAAGCGCAGACCATCCAAGACTTTCAGGTGGCTCTCCAAGATTTCTTGAAGCAACTCCAGCGGCCGCACGAACCAACACGGCTAGTTTGCGTGCTTGACGAGATGCGTGATTGGAAATCATATTTCAATAGGCTTGGGATATGTTTGCGTGGCCACGGCGGCCCGAAAGCTCCTCACGTTTTTCGTTTCGAAGCACGGGCCGATCTACC